TAATAACAAATCAGTGTCAATAAAACAATATATTAATAATGATATGTAATAATAATTACGATATTATGTATCAAAGCAAAAATAATCAAAGTCAATGTTAACATAATTACCATTATTTCATTCAATATCAATTTGTTAGAACAGCATATACCCTGAAAAGGAGACCCATGATCAATATAAAATAAACAGGGTTCTCTAATACTATGGATATGACAATTAATTTCGAAGTTAATAAGACTCAAGAGATTTGAATCATCTATTCCATTCAATTATATATATATTTTTTAAAACAACATATGAATATCTTCTTTTGCGGATAAGGACTTAAGATTTAAAAAGCTACTAATTTTATTATAATCGGAATACTTTGAAATAATTTAAAACTAGTACCTATAAAAAAACCGTTTTTTAACAGCTCCAATGTGATTTTAATTACCAGCAGTATTGTAGCCTACCATTGTATGCAAAATTGTAGCATATTCTTGATAAGTCTTGGTGATGAAAATAAATGGAAATTTACTAAAGGAGTTAGAAGAATTACACACAGTAACACCAAACATGAAAAGAGCTTTATTTTTATAATAATAATTTAATAACATGAGAGATTAACGTCAAAAAGAATAGTGAATAATAAAGTGTTTAACTCAATTCATACAAGAAAGAAAAATATTATTTAGATTTTAAAGTAATAAATCATATTTACGCAAACATCATAATTAATAAGAAATAAAAATGTTGACAAACAGAAGCATGTGTGCATTTCATTAAGCCAATTTCCGTTTTTTTTCCACGAGGATAAAATAATAAAATGTCAACATAACCTTGTTTAATTGAAGCAATTAATCTTAAATATATACAAACAATATTAAGTATACATGCATGTTATTTAAAAAAATATGATATTACAAAATATATGCAGTGTATTTTTTTTTGTTTGAAAACCCTTTTTATAGTGCAAAAGTGCTTTTTATTTTCTTTATTAATATTTTATCTGCTAGAAAAAAGTGAATCTGGTTGGTACTTTCAGAATAATTGGGGAAAATAAAATAAAATTATAGTCGAATGGACATTTTTACTCAAAACCAGTTTTGGCAAAATCAAATTTCTTACTTTGTTATAAATTATAATTCAAAAACAAATAACCATAACTCGATTTAATTGTTATTGTTAAATAAACCATAAATTTAATTTTCAAAATAGTTCGACTCTTTTTGAGCTATTTATAGGCATGATAAATTTTCAATTTTCAATTTTAGTTTTTTAACCATCATCGATAAAAAATATTTGCTCAATAATAAAGTTTAAAAATTAAATACTGGGTGTTCCTCATAGACTGTTATTATATAGCTATTTAAAAATTTTAAATATACATATTAGACACATACTTATTTTTACAAGAATTTGTCACGGATAATCAGGAGGACAGACAGAATCCACCGGAATCTTTATTCGTGTGCAATGATTTATCGTCGAACTCAAATTTAATACTTCCATTTCCCAATCAATGACCTCGGTACAGTGGACACCTATAATACTGTACAACGGAAAGAGTTCCCTTTTTTTAATATATTTGCTTTGATGTATGGTGGAAACATTTTTTTTTCTTGGTCGAAAAGATTGAAAAATCAATACATGATTCCCCTTGGGTTTTTTTTCCATCAGTTACAATAATCGCTTGAATACCTACATTAAATAGCGTCTTCAAATCAACGAAAAACAAATTGGTTTCGATGAATATATTACATAGTTGTACTCGGCGATCAACAGCAGAATATCATATTCAAAATTATGATGAAGTTTCTTACGACTGTAAAGTAACTTACGATATTCTCGTATAATTTATCACACAATATTAAAATATCATGTATGAAAATATTTTTCACCAATTAAGACTATAATATATTGGCACTAGTCTTGGATATATTATAATGAGGAGGCCGACTGGCCGAAGGTATCCCGTCTACGGTTGATTCCCTGTGAGGAGTGGTTGGACCAGGACATCACTGAGAACACTTTTATAATGACATTATACGTATGATAATTATCTTATTTATTAACTGGCACACGCAAATAAACATATTTAATAGCCATATTATCGACAGTCATTCGGAAACGTTTAAGCGAATATGTCTCCTGATAGTTCGTTTATTGATTATGCGATGGCAAATCACGATAAATCGTCCTTCGATCGGGGCCGTAATATTGTTTATTAAGAAAATTAAGAAAAAAAAAACATAAACAGTATCTGAATACCATAATATTATGTATTATATTATAGTTAGTCGGAGTCCATATTATAATATGGTGTTTTAATCGTATTGAAATTCATTACGGCGCGACAAGTGCCAGAAAATACGAGCACACTGCGTCCGCATACATCATAGGTATAATATGATATTTTCGGTTGTAACCACAGACCTTTAATATTATACTACTGGATGAGAACCGTGTATGCCAATAGCATTACGAGTGACGTAACAATATCTCGCAGTGATGTGGGCCATCTTTGCGAGAAAATACGACAATCTATAAACATACATATATATACTACCCCGATACCCAGCACTGCCGTTCGTTTTCGAGTAATGAAAAAGCGCCCTCTGCATGTTGTTACGCTTTCTATAAACTCATTGCTTGTCCGGTAGTGGGTACAAGGCCCATGGTTGGAAAGCAAGTGTCGAGAACTTATTGGTTTTTTTGTGCACGAACAATTCGCGGCAATAAAAACCGAATGTTCATTATTCAATGGCATGTATATGCGTTGATTTTCGCAGGTGTTTTTTGCAATTAATGATTAATTGTAACAGTAATTTACGTATACAGGTAGTATACTGTTATGTTGTTTTGTAGTGCGTGCAGACAGTTGTGGGCCTAAGGGTTTTCCTTAAACACATGACGAATGTACCTATATATAGTGTTTAATTGGGGACCGGACCTTAATGATTTACAGTATTTTTTTGAAGGAAGGACAATAAATAATATTTTTTTACGCAACCTAATTATGCAATCGTTGAAATTTTTTTTTGTAACTCCATTGTAAGGAAGTTTTTTTCGGACAAGGCTTTTAAATATCAACAAAATATTATAACCGCTAGAAAATAAAGCAATACCTAACCCGCCTAACCCATAACTAATAATCACTCCTCTCATTACACCGATAAAAGAAATTGTTATGATTGTAGACTGAAATTTGCAGTTGTACCGTAATATATTATCAATATTTTATAACTACGTTGTTACAGCATAATCGTAAATACAGGTAGGTAGGTAGGTATAAAAAAAAATGTATTATTAGAGTTTTGAAACTCGTAAATTATTAATTATTTATAAAAAATTGTTTGCATAAAGTTAAGCATACTTCTGTTTAAGATTTAAAAAAATGTTTTATCTAAGTGTTGTAAAAAAAATGTACTCATTATATATTTTATTTGAAAAATGCTCTAATACATTTAGTCACTCTGTTTTGAAATTAAAATTACTGACAGCAAACAAAAAGTACAGTGTTGCTGACGGTATTTCGTACTTGTGACAAAGGAAAATTCGGTGTCAAGTTAAAACGTCAACTGATGTTTTTGCAACCAACTAAACATAGTTAAGTTATTTTCGAAGAATCTTAACCGTTAGTCAGGGTTAATAAGAAAAAGTATCTAATTGTAAACATATTCCAAGCAGGTTCTCGTTAGTCGAGTGAATTTCAAAAATTCGATCGACTACTAAAATCCAAATAATAACTGAAATTTTGGTCATATTTATTTTTTTGTTTTTTGAGTTTGTATTAAGACCATAAGACTTAAAGTTATGTCTCAGCTATACGAAATGACAAATATTCTCCACTCGGTTTTCAAAACCATATTTAGCGACACATCGGAATAACGTCCAAATATAGAGTAATTTTCCACGTATAATATTAATATGAAAGCTAGTCATCAGGCAATAATTGAATCGGTTGGCAGCGTCATTTCCGTGAATTTAAACACATGGCAGTGAAACATGAGTACCATTTCCTCGGAAATTTGAACATTATTTCTGTATAAACAGAAGAATTTTTAAAATCTCAAATGTTCTATCTCTGAAATTTTGTTTTTGTTTGTAAGTTTTTACATTTGTACAAGCATGTTGTACCTAATTAAAAATAATTGTAATAATGTTCATATTACAATAATCACGCTGTAATACTTATGAAACAAACAAGAACCATATAGTCATCTATTTAGGTTACAAATGGGTAAACATTTTTATTTTATTTTTCTATCGACAATTTAAAGACGCATGTGCGGTATTTGATAACTTTTTACATACTAATATCTATTATGGCGAGCAGACAACTGTTGCTTTTTGTCACCGCGCAGAGTAAAATTGGAATATATAAATCTATTGGGCATATTATGAGTATATTAAGTACATAATAGCCTTAGAGCCGTATATAGGTACCATAATTAGAGAAAGAAATCGAAGACAAAACACAATCAACATTACTATAAACAAAACTCAATACTCACTGGAGTAATTAATGTTCGAAGAGCGTGATTTTGAACTACCCACTTTTCTGTCTGAATAGAGGTATTATACTAATGTAATTTAGTTGATGACACGATACGATGACCGACGTGGTAGATCAAATTATACAATTGAATAGGTGTTATTATTTTGATGCGTCACGTCGTTTCAACGCTGTTATTGAATTATTGGTATACCCGACGTGTACGTCCGATAAAATCAAAAAACTGATAAACAGCATAAAAATTAAAAACTCAAGTCAAATATTGAACGAATGCGAAATAAAATATTATTTGTATAGTAACATTAATATGTTTATAATGCTCAAGTGTACTAATATCTCATGAGTAATAACTATAGGCGGGTACTACCTAATGCAAATTGGTGGCGGTGGTGAAAAATACCTAATAATATGTAATACCATTCACTGGCATTCCAAAAAAAAATTGTTTTTACAATAAACAAGAAGTGAACCTTGAAGTTTGATTTTTTAATATTTACAGTGTGACCAATTACTTTTTGGTGAACTTGTCCATCGCCGATCTTCTAGTGACATTCATATGCATGCCAATGGCCGTTGGACAGTCGGTGACCGGTTTGTGGCTGTACGGCGAGACAATGTGCAAATTGACATCGTATTTACAAGGTATAATATAACTGGTCTATGGATTTCTTGTAAAATGTAAACGTCAGTTTCTAAAAAATAGAATGAAAATTGTATTTTTAAGAAAAATAAAAAACCTTCAAGTGTTTAAGTAAAAAAAAAAATAATAACGATTTATACAGTCTCTTGTAGCGAGGGGGTGTGTTTTCCGTCTGCGCTTGAGTTTTGTTATTATTCAGTGATACCCATTTAGTTTCAAAATTATAATTCCTATTCAACAATGCTGAAACAAGTGGCTATGCGAACTATTGTGAAATCCACTAGTCTAGTTTTCATAATACGCGATCTGAACACACGATTAATGACGTCATTAGACTGTTTATGTCAGTGCAAGATAACCATACTAGTGAATTGATAAAGATGGATAGTAAATTAACGACTTTAGAAAGGTTTATTAGACGGTTTGGTTACTTCAGTTAATCATTGGAAAACGGAAAAACTGGATTCAATATTTTAACTTTTAAGTAATAAATTTAAATCTATTGAATGAACAATTGTATGTTGTAGACCACAGTGCAAACGACTAATTACATTCTTACGTTTTATTTTTTAATATTGTTAATTTATATTTGATAGACATAGAAATTAAATATAAAAAATATAAAATGCTATTGAAAAATTAATAAACAATGCTAACATTGATGATTAAAAACACTTTATGAATAACACAGAAATACCTTTATAATAGGGAAGAATGATATAAGGATACGTTGTTATCTATAGTCTATACACATAATAAAAAGTAATACGTAATTTTATATTCATTTAGTCAAACACTTAGGTAAATAGCAAGTAAAATCCTTCTTGATTTATTTAGTTATTTTTCTTTTTTCATGTGTAGAACTGTATAAGCATATCCATATTATGGACTATAGTACAAATTGTTCAATAACCTGGAAATCACTAATCCGAATTTTGATTTTGATATATCAAAATTATCAAAAAAATTATCCGCTAAATAATTTAAAGAAAAAAGTGGGGTTCTCATTTGAAAAACAAAGGTTCGTATCGCCACAGGACACTCGTTAAGTGGCACAAAAAATCTCAAGAATATGAAAATATGGTCTTTGAGTATATTTAAAGACTCCAAAAATCAGATTTTGAAAAACTTCATTATTAAAGAAAACAATTTGGGTGAGCATACTTGTTGCATCGCCCTGTGTAGCTTTGAACTATAACAAATTAATTATCTTTCTCGCCAATTTTCTAAATTTGTCAGTAGTTTTTTTTTAGATCAAACTATCGATTTGTTAATGACCGATTTAGAATGCTCGGGGACCGAAATGTGATTAAATCGTAGCACCCAAAATAAAATATTATTATGTGAAATACGCATAAAATCTTGAGAAGTTACCAAGGCCAATTAGAAAAAAAACATTTCTTTAGTTTGAAGTATCAACAAAATAAATTGTTCAATCATTAAAAAGAACTAAATTACACTTTTAGATCAAATCCTTCTGTCTTAACTCTTTTGGTTAGAAAAAAATAACTATAGACAAAAACTAAATAATGCACTCAGAATTTAATAATATTAAAAATGAATAATTTAAACTATATTTTACGTTTGACATTTACAAATTTTAACAGACACAACGAGGTACAACATTATTTGATTAAAATATATGGAAATGTATAGAATAAAAAATAAAATATTTGAAAAAACTTTACAATGCGTAATTAGTGGGTGCATGGTAATAAATAAACTTCATACCGTAGTTATAATACTTAAAGAATATTTCAAAGCTGATATTATACTATACAGTTAATATTATTATGAACCTACTATACTGTATTATTATTAATATATTTGGTCATCCTGGAACAATAAATAGAGACGACTAGGCATTATATTAAAAAGGTACAATCCAGCTGATCAAACCTATGGAAAACCTAACCCAACGACCAGCCCCCCCACATTAATTTGATCAAGTTATATCTAGTTATAATGGATGCTGACTTGAGCAGTTATACATTTTAGGTGCCCCTAAACATGGACTTCAAGTGTTCTGGTTTTTTAAGTTTGTCGTGGTGTCCCAAAAACCTTTCTCAGGATGTTGACAAGACGTCTAGAAATATAAATTCGTATATTTAATTTGGTATTGCGTATATTAACTTTCAGTGTTATCTCCTGGTTTCGTAATACCTATTTAGGAACTTATATTAATTAATAGTGACATTTTGAATTTTAAAATTTTTTTTAAATATTTTAGAAATAATAAATGCATTTATGTATTTATAGGAATTCTTTTTAAATATTTTATTATTACCAAAAGTTATGAAATAGTTGTTGGACAACATTTTTATTTAGTACCTCTGAGGTTTTATTGCTGAAAAGTCCTTTCTTCGTATGTTTCTTGTTTTTTTTTTTTTTTTATTGAACTTAAGCCCGGCGACTAAAGCCATTAGCTGTTGTAGGGGTTATGAACTGTGGTAGGGGTAAGGTTGGTACGGTAGGTTGTTTTTACGATTGTTTTGGGTTGTTACGGTAGGTAGCAAACACATGTATGTGTGGCAAGGTTTTTAACTACTATGAACCCGGGTGGTCACCCATCCGAGAGCTAGTAGCTATGGCCGTTACTTACTCCCAGTCGCATTCCCGAACTGGTAGCAGCCAACGCGCCACGCTAAGCCACGTTTCTTGTTTTTGGTCTTAATCTTTTGCCATCTATGTTACATATTATTTATTATTTAATATTATTTATTTTGTAATTACATAAAACATTGAATTTAAAAAAAAAAAAATAGTACCTACGTAGTTTTATTGTTTGTTTATTTCATTTTTGGAACAAATGTAATAAAAAAAAAAAATAGAGAATTGTAATGAATGTAAAAAAAAATTGTAAAAAAACCCACCAATCTCTCCAGAATAAGTAGAAACATACATAGGTACATAGGTACTATAAATATACCAATTCAAACCTAATGTTCAGTATTTCATATTTTTAAGCTTTTTAAGTTATTTTCATACTAAAGTGTAGCAAAGAAAAACTTAAGTATTAAAATGAAATACCCCATAATATTATATGATGCGAAAATTATAATTCGTTTCCACAATACAAATGATTTACTATTTCCACAAATTCTGGCGTGTTTCCTGGAAATTCCAGGAACACCTAACAAATTATACCCGACAAATGAAGTTCCCGGGAATAACCAATTCCTAACCTAACATAATATTACTATTTTAAGCTTTTCCTTCTTTTTTTTTGAATGCCAATCAATAATTTTTAGCTACATTCATGCAATGCAAATTAGCAATGGCAAGCAATACAATCAAATATTTGTCTTAATATCAATGATTTTGAATAAAATCACCTTAAAAACAATTGCTTTTGAGTACTTCATCACTGACAACCGTAATCTAGTAATAAACAAATAACTTTTTCTAATTAAAGTTTGAAACTTGCCAAACAAAAAGGTGAAAAAAACATTCTACCACCTTACTATTTTTTTCTACTATAGGCTCGAAGGATTAGTAAAAGTCCACATGTGACTACAGTGAGACGAAATAGATTAATACAATAAAAAAAAAACAAATAACTTTAAGAATTATCAGCAAAAGAATTTCTTTTCAAAAATAACACGCATCATATACAACTTAATAAAAGTAGTCTTAGATACAACTTCAAATTTGTAAATCATTATTAGAATATTTTTTCAATTTTTTTTTTTAAGCCAAGATCGTCAAGATACACTTGTCAACACATACAAACAAAATACTGTTAGATTCACCTAAAATGTTTCATTTGTATTATTATGTTAAGTACGCAATTTATTAATCACTTGCCCTAATAACAGATAGATGATTTTACATTCGTGTATAATTTCTACATGGGAAAATTATAATTAAATTACATTTGAACCAATTAATATGCTAATGTAAAATAAAATAACAAAACGTGAACGTGGCTTGCAGTACCACTGTCCAAATATTATATGAGTAGCCACTAGGATAAAGCTTTCAAAACGCAAGGATTATAATCACTGTGGAGGAAAAACCATAGAAATGAACGGCGTAGTATTTGAAATGTTGTTGAAAAACAATACATTATCATGCAGGTAGAAAAACTGCTCCTTTTCCTAAAGTAAATATTGATACATGTATATTTTAAACAAAGAGTTCTTAATAAATTCTATAGAAATAAATTTCTGATAGCAATAAATTCGTTCTGTAATTAGAAAATAATATCGAGAAAAATATTATGATAATCTAAGACGTGTGGTCATATCGATCATCATTATTTCCCAAAATAATAAAAATATGAGCCCACAATGATATTTTTGTAAAATCAATTGATCATCTAGCTATCATTTACTTAAATAATGTTGTAATATAACGCACCAGTTTGAACACCGCCACAAAAATTGTGGTCAATTCAATGAATCGTCCAATTTGATTTCATTATTTCCTAATATTGTTAGAAAATGGTGACAAATGTAGAACATAAAATGAAAATTATAATAACTATATTTCTTGTACAATTTTTGGAATATAGTTTAATGCAGTGTCGTAAGTCGTGACACTTAAAAATTGGAGGTTATAAACGTCTAAAATAGATATGAATGTAAAGAAATTAGACATACAATGTCTAAGTCTTAGGTTTTTTTGTTACATTTCTGTTTAATAAATATTATATCATTTTATTGATAGGTGTTTCAGTTGGAGCAAGCGTTTTTACTATAGCTGCAATGAGTATCGATAGATATTTAGCTATCGAACATTCGATGTCATTCAGAAAAGTACTCAATCGAAAATCAACCATATACGTAAGTTGAATATAACGTTATGTACAAATAATTGTTATTTGTATCGTTTTAAAAATGACATTGATGCAAATAATACAATACGTCTAAAAAAATTGTTTTAACGTTGTCAGATAATACTATAAAAACAAAAATAATACAATATGCCAAAACTACACTTCCAATAATATAATGTTGTATGATACTGTAATCAAATATTTGAGTTAAAATAAAGTGTGTTTTTAAATTATTGTAGAACTAAAAGAAGATAAAAAGCAATGATTTAAATAATTCCAGATTTTCCAAAATATTAAATCATTATTACACGTTCAGGTGATCATAAATGATGTGTTTGAATATGCCCGGTCAGATACGTAACTCCACTTGGATTTTTATTATGATCATTTAAAATTATTTATTTCAAACATAATATTTGGGCCACGCTGAGCATGCTTACGAAACTCTAATTTTTGAATTTATGTTCATTACGTTTATAAAACAGTACAGTTAATATTCTTTCAAGATTACAGCATATCACCATTGATTATAAATAGTACTACTATTTATAATCAATGATATTACGTCAAATAACATTTTAAATGTTAATGCTGTAACAAAGTAATGTACCTATATTGCCTATACATTACGCCGCACAATATGAATGTGGTATATTATTTGACCACGCATACAGACCGGGTACTAGAAACACCTGTTATCTCTCCTCTCAGATAACCTCACTCAAAACATTGTTCGTTATTATAAAATCACCTTATCGAATTTTTCAAACAGATATTTCATTAGGTAGGTGTTTTAATAAATGTCAATCAAAATTAATTTAAATAAAACAAATAAATAAAATAACTCACTCGAAAAAATGTTTTTAACTTTCAAGTGGTATTTAATGCATTCGAAAGTGTCTAAAAATATATATATTTGTTCAAAAATAGAACTAATATTCAAATACAATATTATGATACACATAAAAGTTAAAATTGTACATTTTGCATTTCACAAATTATATTGCGTGTTTGCGCAGAGTTGATTTATTCAAGGTTTGTACAAATACAACTATACAATGTAAGCACTTCAGACACCATACTTACATACATTTTAACGAAGATTATAAATTTGTTCAAAACCCGAAATTATACAATTCTTGAAATACACTTCCTGTGACTTTTAAACAAACCATTGTTGTATGTGTGCGAATTATATAAATGTATGGATTTTTTTTATGACCGGAAAACTCTCTTCTGCTGTATAATGGTTTCAACTTTTCAAGTATATCTCATCATTGGGTAGGTCATTGTAATTGAACAGTTCAATTTTAATTCAAATCATTGTGAGTGAAAACATTTTTTCTGTACGAAGGAAACTGGTGGGTCAGCATTTTGTTTTGAGGATATACATAATTATGTTGTTCTATATGTACCTATATTATTATTAGTATTTTCTTGATTTGGTACGTTGAACTTAATTTTGTTAAAAACATCGCTTGTGTACCTATAGAAAAAAATAATTTAAATTTAACAAGACGTCTCGGATATTTAATACTATTTTGAATTTAAAAAACAGATCAATGAACAATAATCGTTACTTTTGGTTTGAATATTCAATTTTGTTAAAAATTGAAGTTCTAATAAAAAATGAATATAAACAGTGATGATTTTATATTTCCGATATATTTTTTTTTTAATGTAAAATCTTCCATGCGGATTCTCGTATTACATTTGCAAGACTTAATACTCAGAGTTAAAAATGATATCAAACCCAAACCATACATATTATGGTAGTGCCTACAGCAAATAATATAATATTGCTTGAATTTTTTATAAATATTTAGTACATTTTATCTTCTCTAAGATTTTTTAATTTTTAAATAACATCAAAATAATTTTTTGTCCAAATAATAATTTTTCATATTCATCGGTCGAAATTTCACTTTCTGAATTTTAATTTATAGAGCTACAGCCAGAAGTCGTCCTCGTTGAAACTATTAAGTTTACCTTGAGATAAGAACTTAATTACTCATCAGTCATCAATAATATGTGTGTACACATATACTTACTTCCTTATAATTTTTCAACCCATCTTAAACATTTTTTCATACATTAAGAACATAAACTGAACTAATGGAATACGGATCTCCATTATCTAATAATTCAGAATTTTTTCTAAATTATCATTTTAGTTAGGTACTGGTCACTTATTTTTTTATAAATATGCATGAATTTTAAACTGAAAAAAAATGTGATTTACTTTTTAAGTTAATGTATCTGATTGTTTATTGACAGGTCATACTTGCTTTATGGCTTGTGTCCATGACTATATTCGGCCCAGTTTTATGGGTCCGTCAAACAGAATCTGTGGAGTTGGGAGATGATCCAATACTAATCGATGCTGTCCATAGATATGGTTTGGCCTGGTGCATAGAGGACTGGGGAAATCCACATGCAAAATCTACGTTATCTAAACACGTTTATGGTACATTTTATGTTATAAGACTTATCTTTATCTATAATAGGTGTTAATGAAAGAAATAAAATTACAAAAAATGTTTAAAATATATACCTACAGTTCAAAAAGTAAAAATCCATTGCAATTTACAGGTATTCTATGTTTTGTTCTGGTGTATGCTACACCTGGTTTTCTAGTGACTGGAGCCTACACATTGATGGGTCGAAGACTATGGGCCGTACGACCACCATTTGATGACCAGCAGGGCATGATAAGTGTTCAACAGGTTAATCAATATATTATTATATAGGATGTTTCATAAACGTGAACGGAATTTAAATGAGTAATATTTTTATTCTATTTTCGTGGGCTCTCTGATTTTATTTTTGTTGTTATCCGTTATATCCTTATTTTTAATGGTTTACGGGATTTGGTGTATGTGTTAATCATGGTGTGTCTTAATTTCGAACGACGCATTTTAGGTACTTAAAACGCATTATAAACATTAAGAACACAGGCAAAGTGCCATTCACGCTTGTCTCCACAGCCTCCCTGTCATATGCCCGATATTGTGTTTCACACTTAATTCGGAGTATATTATGTACAATAGACATTAATAAAAAAATATAGACTTTGATGCAAAAAAATTCTTCAATAAAGTTATTTCTAAATAGTTTTCGTCCATGTTTATAAAACGACCTATTTATATATATTATATATGTATAATATAATTTATATTTTATACTGTTTAACAAATTCAATTGTTCTTAATAATTGCCTAGTTATACATTTTGAGCAGAAATGAAATAATTGTGAAATTATAAATTTTAATTTGTTATAAAACAAATAAGTTGTGTTATTCAGATGTTTACATTTCACACAATAATTTAATATGAATTATTAAAATAATCAATTTAACCTGATTTTAATTTTGCCATTATTTAAGTATCAAAATATTTTATATTGTTTTATTTTTAACTACTTTGCTATATTTTCCTAAAAACAATTTCAAAAAAACTCAATAAATAATTAGCACCTATAAATTGTATTTTAATTTTCAGGTCAGAATGGTACGTGAGAGACGTAGAGTAGCAAGAATACTCTTTGTCTTAGCAGTAATATTTGCATTGTGTTGGTTACCATACAACTTATTAACACTTTTCTTAGATTTAGATATCACACTTGATAAATTTGGTCTAGATCAGGTATTTGCGATTATTGCACCAAACTATTTTGTATTTATTCATACGATATATATTATATAACATTCATTTTTTTTAGGAGTATTTAATGAAGTGGTATCCTTTTACACTACTTTTAGGCCATGCAAATTCAGCAATCAATCCTTTGCTGTATTGTTTTATGACAAGGAATTTCCGAAGAACAATTAAGGGTTTTGTATGTAATACTGGAATCGCTAAACCGAGAAGAAGAAATCGATGCAAAGTAAGTTGATAGTCTACGACTTCCAATGATAAAAATGCAATCTTCCTATTGTGTACAATAGATAAGTACGAGTCTATACATTTATTTTACAGAGAAAATATAATATTTGCCCATATTAAAAATCAACATCACATGTTATGTCGTAGCCCGTAGGTCATATTTCTTCAAATTTATATTGGATAAAAAAAATAGACTTTAAAATGAAAAAATAAACTTTTATTTTATAATGATGGGGTATAATGTCAATATAGGTCAATATTATACATCAGAGGTCTGCAACTCAGCAACCTTTTTGATGCTGTCAAGTGCCGAAAAATAAATAAACATTTTTCTCGGACCACAATTTAAACCTTATTTTATTTCAAACAAAAATGTATAGTCACATCAAATTTAGATTATTTAAGGTAGGTACCTAATAACTGTTAGGTAATTTAAGTAGATTAGGTAGGTATAGGTATTAATTTAATAAACTATCTTCAAACAAACAAAGTTTCAATACACCATTTCAAGTGCATACCATCTTAGTTCGTGGTTTTTATACATAATGTCTATATTTTCATACAAATTATAAATTTTACCCACGAGCCACGTGCAATTGTTATTAGGGGCCGCACGTGGTTAAAAGGTCAAATACACACTAATTATTACATATTTTAAATATATAATATATATACAATTGTCCTGATAATGTGAAATGTATTATGTTGATGTTTCGGGGCATCTTTTTCAGCACGTATTAAAATTAAATTATTTACAATACAAAATTCCCATCAATAGGTTTAAAATTTCCTACCAATATATTCCATGTATCAACGTAATAAGATAATATTTCATGCAGATACATTTTACTTACATGAATACAATGAAATATACGATTATAAATTAATAATAAGCTATATGATGGATTAATTTAAACTTAACTAAAATTTAAAGTCAACGGATTAAGCATGTATGCCTATAACGATTTACACTGTAATTCAAACCCAAAAATGTTTAATAAGCATGATGTATAGATACTGTATTATTTTATTGTCCAAGCAATATGAAATACAAAGACAATTTTTTGTATACCTCAAAACACTCGTAATATAGAACCGCGTAACAAACGATTTGATAAATAAATTATAAGTCTGGATTTTCATTAATCGGTTTCAGAAGGGGCTGACCGAGAAAAGCACAACAAGTGGATACGGCTCGTTCCGCAACCCACGTCGGCTGTGTTTCACCCTGGCCCAGCTACGCCAAAACAATACAGTCCAAACACGAACTGCAACGATATCAAACCTCGCTGTTCTGTAAATGAAAAAGAGTTCATTTTGTAATATTACGTACCTATGCTACTGTGTTAATTTGCTTGAATTAATTTTTATATTATATAATTAATGTATTATAATGTATATAAAGCTTGATGTACTATGTCCATACTCAGAAAAAACTACTCGTAAAAAACTACTATTATGTTTTTTACTTAATTATTATTCTTATTGTTATTATTATTATTATCATGATCTTTTTACGAATATCTAATTACATTTTTTTTTAATTTATTGATATAAATATATAATGATAATACTGTACATACCTACTCAATTATACTGATCCTTCATAGAGCAACATTATAGACACTTGCCTCGATGTCATGAGTAATATAATAACTATTATGTACCTTTAAAATTTCTATCTACATCATATGTGCATATAATATATTATATACTCAATGTCTCAATGTTACACAAACATTATAATACCAATAATTCCATATAAATTAAAAAAATTAGTAAAAATCCCAAGCAGGGACCAGAGATCAGGTATTGCAGATTACCTATACAAGTGTCGCACTCTCGCTTCGCTCACTTTAGTACCAGATGATGTGGATATAAATATATATTATTTGGCATTTTAATAACTGTTATTCAAACTACGATTCTACAAGATGTGAAAACTGATCAACTATGTATTTAAATTCCCAGTATATTAACATCTAAACTTACAAATTCTATAAAAATTAATCCAACAAAATATCATCATCATCAAATATTTCTGCATTTCATACTTTAAACCCTTTGTATACGTGGTGTAACTGTATTATTATATTATTGACTAAAGACTTTTGAATTTCTATCATATTTATTTTTGGCATAATTTATTTTATTATTATTAATATTTTGTGAGTGAAATTTAGTGTAACATTTATACAAATGATTTCACAGAATGTCTAAAGTTCAATGTGAAGGTGCTAAATTATGAAAACTTGTTCAAAAATTTTCTAGCGAAGTTTTTAGAACTTATAATATAATACTTACTATAATTTGAAATATTTTTTTTGCATCATTTTGAATATTTTTAAAAATATTATGCATACTTTACCATTTATTATCTTATATAAATCCTAGCTCTAGTTACAAATCTAACCTATTAAATGTTTGCCTAGATTTCAACAATTTAAAATGTTATATAACTATCAATCAAACACCTTAAAGAGAGTAATTAATTATCAAACACAAAATAAGTTCATCTATTTGATAAATAATTTGTACCAACAGTTTTCATTATAATTATTTTGTTAATATTATACCATTCTACTATAACATCAAGTTTATATGATTTGATTTTAGTCTTAAATATATGGTCAGTGAGTATTTTAAGTCCTTGTAGAATTATTATTTTTAAAATAATAGCAATCGAGAACAACTAATGTTGATTTTGGTAGATGGATACAAAGTATATTTTATTTGTATTGTTATAAAATATAAAAATAAATGGTTATCTATAATTGACGTATTGCTGTAGATATAATCAATAACTGCAAATTTTATATTCTGCCATTTTAGTGGTACTTGTCTAATATATATATTATCTATATTATATTCTTTTAAACGATTGTTATAATAAATAGACAGTCGTCTATTAATCGTGATATTATTTTATATGTTTAATTATATGTTATCAGTTGTAATAATTGTTGAGCTATATTAACATTTTGTAAAAAGTTAATTTAAGATAATAAATTTATGTTTAACAACACATTTTTAAAAGTTCAATAACTTTCAACGTTTAGGTTTTATCCTCTGTCTGTTATTATAACATATTTCAATGGTCCGTTGGGGGTTCTTAAAATTATATGCAAAATTCTATACAAATATTTGGTTTGTGTGAAACCTTTATAATTTTATTTACAATAACCATATAAGCTGATAAAAACATTCATAGAAATATAAGGTTGAGCGAAACTCAGATATTTGAAACCCTTGATGTTTAGTGATTTTCGTGTGTGCGTCAAGCAATATGGTCTGGAGCAGTGGTTCTTAGCCTTCCTTGGTTCAGCGCCTCTTCACCAAAATAACTGACGGCTTACGCCCCGCTTCCAAACAATAAAAAAAAATGCATACATTTATGAACCAGTATTTTAAATTAAAATGAAAACTCTTAATATTTAATAATATAATGATAAGTGTCACTGGACACTGGAGTTTTTTTTATTTTTTCCATTATTTCGCATTTTAGAGCTCACTATAACTCCACCGCCACTTTAAACCTACCGCCCCCCTGTAGGACCGAAGTACCCCCTAGGGGTTGGTACCACCCACGTTAAGAAACACTGGACTAGAGTTCAAGTCTTTCACGTATAGAACATCAAACACATTTGCCCAGTGTCTAAAAGGGAGGAAAAATTGGTAAAAAAATTCTTAAAACAATTTCTCCACCAGATTATTTTCTTTTAATTGGTTCTTGAATAGGTTCATCATCACTTCATCAGACATGAATTATCACTTATCAGCTCTATTTTATAGAGTACAACTTCAGGTTACCCACCACGATATGTTATTAAAAAAAAAAAAAAAATATTTGAGCATTTCAATAACATAGTTATTAAATTATTTCTGAATTTAATTGTTCCAAATAACAAATTTTTCCCGTTACAACATACACATAAATAGTATAACTGTGAGCTTGTCCATATCACTTATAAAAAAATATATACATTTTAATTTCGTAGTAAAAATTAACTGTGATAGTATATTACAAGAGTAATCTTCATATTTGACGAAGTCTTATCACTACTGAAATCCTCATAACACTGCTACTACATTTATAATAACTTGGATATGCATAATTCGTATGAAAATTCATGATAGGTGAACATCAAATAATTACGATGAGCATAATATTATACATAGTTGTACTCGATAAATTCACAAACATGGCATTTGCGTAATTCACATTTATATACGAATAAGGTTACGATATATTATAAATAGTATCATAGGTAATAAACAAAAGAATAATATATTTAAAATTTTGAAAGTTTCTTACAACGGTGTAGTTACCTAAGATAATCTCGTAAAATATTATAATATCACGTGTGAAAATATTTTTAAAAATTAAGACTATAATATTGTGTATTGGGCACTGATTGCGGACGGTAATAATATTAATACTGAGGAGACAATCACGCCCGCGAATGATTCTTAGCGAGAAGCGGTAGGTCGGGGTGGACTGCAATCCCAAAAGCATAATAATAATAATAATAATATACATACAATTATTATAATAATGATAGTTATTATTTGTATTATCAGGCAGCATCGGCAGACATGAATAAAAAAATATAATAACTATAATATTATAATATAAGTCGACCGCCATTTGGAAACGTTTCAGTGAATACGTCTCCTGGTCCATTTAATAATTATGCGATGGGAAATTACCATAACTCGTCCTTCGAAACGATACCATGTCTGTAATAGTATAATATTATGTATTATAAAAAAACATTATCAGCGTCCGAGCACCATAGTATTAAATTTAATCGGTGACCGTCTATATTTTATTGAAATTCATTACGACGCGGAAAGTCCAAAAAAATACGCACATACTGTGGGTAGGTACCTACGTCACGCGTACACGTATAAGTACAACAATATAATAAATATACAATAAGCGATGAAACTGAAGTGGGAATAATAATATCGTGGTCACTTTAAGTTTAACTGTGGACTGTAATATAGCATGGAAAAAAGCTAATATGTGATATATTCGACCGGAGCATATAAGACGTTTTCAGAACGTTAAATTTTTTATGCACATATGCATACGGCTTTATAACCAAATACGTTCAATAACTTTTACGTCGATTTTCGGAGATGATTATTAATCGTATTAATGATTAATTATAATAATATAAAAAAAGCCTGAAATCGAAAATAATGCCAGAAGCACGAAACTACGAAAACATTGTCACTATTGCTTGGATACAAGGATAAAACGTAAAAGGGCATAGCCATATCAAAAGAAACGAAAAATATAAATTGGCGAAAGATTACACAAATAACTACGGCAAAAAAAATTAATTAAAACTTCGCAGGTACGAAAACGTTGTAAATGATAATATATCAATATACAAACTGATATAATAGTTGTGCAAGTAGAGAAAAAATCCTAACTCAGCGAAGTAAAATGGAGAACCAGACGTTGAAAAAAAACACAATTTAAATTGGATAGATGATGTCATCTCAATGTATCTAAGAATAATGCATACGAAATACAAACACGGCTACTCAGTTTGCAAATAAGATGACCCGACCTAAAGCACAACGTGTAGAGTCAATTAACCATCAAACAGCTAGCGATTGCCAGAAATCAAAATAACATCCCCGAATTCCTCTATCGGTTCAACGGGGCGACAAGATGAGATGACAAACAAGAAAATACTTAAAAAATATTTTTACAAAGAAATAATTAGTGAAAGTAATTTGTTATTATAACAGCAAACAATCGTAAAAAATTGTCACCTTAAAAATATCAATAATATCACCACAATATAGTTATATAATTATGCATTTGTGTTCACTGTGCAGGCTGAGACTTCACATTATTGTAATTGCACAGTAGTGTTGAATAAATTGGGGACAATAATGACTTACGCGGTTAATTTTACAGGAAAGCGCAATAAATGGTATTATTTTATTTTCAACTTATAATAAGGTCTAATATTTCTTTCCAATACCACCGTTTAGAAGTTTTCGGAAGTTTTTTGGTTCGTGCAATGAAACGTTTCTAACCATAACGCTTAACTTTTGCGCCTCAGTCATACAAAATGATAATTCAATAATTGATGTAAGTACACACGATTATCATGAACATTCGACGGAAAATCCATGATTGAGATATTATAGGTACTTGATATATTTCAACCCTGGGTACGTCACACGATTAAAAAATAGTATGGTTGCCCAACGACTCTTGAAAAGTGTCCATCGAAATGAATCTCTGTGATCAAAATTAAACAGCAAGAAATGCACGTACTATAGCGTTTATATGGTATAGCTACTATAAATTCAGTTACCATTCAAATGTATATGTAGTAATTTATTTGGAGCGTTTACGTTGGAGTGAAGGGCTAACTTAACACACGTAATTGTAGTTCTACGATAGTCGCAATGGCACAAAAGCGGTAGCTCGGGATTTTAATACTGATTACAGAGATTCACTTGTGTAGACACTTTTTAAGTATGGGAATCATGGGTCGATGGGCATCCATACTCTCTATGGCTCCGATACATCGTAATAAAGATAAATACCGTCATGTTCCACGTATTATAGTAATATTATAGTATTATTAAGTTTTTGGATTAAAACTGACCTTTAACCAATAATTGAATCGATTCCCAACATTATTTCCGAGAATTTAAACACGCTGCAGTAAAACATAAGTACCTACCATTTCTTTGGAAATTTGAGCATCATTCCGCTGTATATACATGACGGTTCTCAAAATAATCATGATACAATGGCCGACATATTAGGTAGCTCATATTATTATATAATACTTAATTACTGATGACGATGACTTACGTCGTTAGTCGTTCCAAAGCTATTATTGTATTATATTATATAGTGCAAGCATGTTTACGTCAGATAAAATCAAAAAACAACTGATAAGTACTTTAAATGCAGGTTCAACTAAAGGGATGCGAATTAAAATAAAATATGTATAATAATATTTTTTAAAGTGTACCAATGTCCCACGAGTACCTACTAATGCAAAGTGGTGGTGGGAAGAGGCAATATGTAATACCAATTTACTACCTCTATCACCTAAAAAAAATAATATTTATAATACATACGAAGTGAATGTTGATGTTTTTCTATATATTTACAGTGTAACCAACACATTTTTGGCAAACTTGTCCATCGTCGATCTTTTTGTGACATTCATATGCATACCAATGGCTGTTGGAAAGTTGGTGACCGGTTTATGGTAGAACGACCACAGTATGTGCAAATTGGCATAGTATTTACAAGGTAGAATAATTGAACTGTCGATTTCTCGATAAATTTAAACACAATTTTTTTCAAAAATGTAATACAAAATATATTTATGAAGTAACAAAAAGGTACCAAGAGTTAATGTAAAAAAAAAAAGTAAAAAAGGAAAACATTAAAAATCATATTACGGTTTTTGAACGCAATAATTCAATTTCATTAGTGCTGTATCCTAAAGATGTTAACACTTCATTTGTATGTTGACCCAACAACGGAGGCTCTCTTCGGATTGCATTACTGCTATTCTTGAAGGTAACTGCTGGACCGACAATTTTAAGTTTTACGTTATATGAGCAGTCAACATCTTGGACAATATTTATATCCTTAACATGTTCGTTGTTAAAAGCCTATAAAAATCAACATTATAACCATACATTTTATATTCATATCAAATTTTATTTTTAAATTTAATAATTTTTAAAAGTATGGGTAACGTTTAAGTTTCATACAAAAGACCATGGCAAAACTGTGCTAAATTATTCAGATATAGGAAATAAAACACACCATTACTCATCTCAATACATTTTTACAGCAAAAGGGTAAAGTTATTGATTGTATAATATTACAAATAAAATCAATTTATATATTATATTACAATACACATTATTTAAAGTATCATCCATAAGACCATACAGATAATTTCAATTTGTGTTGAAGGAGAAACGAAGGAGAAGATTGAGCTTATTGTGTATAATTGATTGATGGATTATTGTTTGTACTTCACATTAACAATAAGCTTCTCTGCATATTACACCTACATAGGATATTATGTTGTAATATATTTTGATTCCTCTGGTGAAATACTTTCTTTTTCAAAACTATCCACCAAAAGTTTGAGCTATTTTATATAACTAGGGTTGAGAAGAAAACATTAATCCTAAGTTCTAGCAGTTATGGATCCGTGAAACAAAACACAAAAACATTGTAGAAAACAAACTATCTCTATTATTTTGTATTGAAGAAACACATCAGCCAGTACATCGTGTAAATCCAAACTTAAAGCACAACGATGTAAATGAAAACAAATTAGGGTATCATTTTTCATTTTCTTCGTATATTAATAATAATGGGCAAAAGTTTAAGGCAAAGATCTTAATTAAACTATGACCATAAAGAATTTCAAAAACCGTGATTAAAGATAATGATTAAACTTAAAAAAAAATTAATAATGAAATAAACTAATATAAAAGGTGTTTATAAGCGTATTATTTATAGAATATGAATCGTTACTTGTCCTGATAGCTCTTTAATATGCAAACAAATATGAACGTACTTGTGCCATATCATTGACGGGACCGTAAGGAAAAGGTACTCCTTCGAAAATCGTCATCCACTCTTCGTTTGTTTTGGATTCTAAAATTGGTTCAATTATGTTATACAACTGTTCTCTATTCTTAACGCGACATTCGTTGTTCTTGAATCGCTCGTCCGTAGCTAATTCTGGAATTGATACTCGATCGCAAAATGATTTAAATTGTGCTTCGTTGCCGGTACCAAAAGTAAGGAAACCATTTGCTGTTTTAAAGGCCTTGTAAGGAACTACGCTTTCATGCTCAGTACCCCATCGTTTCGTTAACATCCCTTTAAAAAATTAATTTTTTCATACATAATAATTAATAATGTGTGAATTTATAACACACAAAGACTGAGTTGCTTCAGATGGATATTTGTGTATTAAAAAGCTAATATGTATGATATGCGAAATATACATTAAACACAAAGTGTTGCATATTACAATATGCTGATTGTTTATAAATGTTTTGCCTCTAAACATTTATAAACAAACTACAACTTTAGACTTAATATAATAAGTGCAACATTATAATTATTCTAATTGCTAAGCTATAGGTTCTATGTTTAATATAATTGTTTAACAGTTGTATATTATTTTTTATTAAAGGTATTCATGAATCAAATTATTCCAAATTTATCACAACTCTTAAACCATACATTTAATATAATTTTTGCATCCCGAATTAAAATATGTTTTTTTCAATAATGTCATAATACTAATGTTTGAACCACAAAAAATGAACCATCTTGAGCTGAGAGTTTAAAAATAAAGGATATTTTCTCATAACTTTTGTAGGAGTTTTATGAAGAAGATAATTAAGATTACAGTTTTAATTAAAATGGTTATCATTAAAATAACGATTAATTAAATCGAATTTATTAGTTGGACAATTAAATATTGAAAATAAGTGAAGATAATAAAATCCTTTGAAACGTTTGAAAAACGTTCGGATAATGTCGAAAATGTGTATTTATATTCATTGTTAAAAGCCTAAGTTATTTTTTTAAGGTACAAAAATGTGTATGAACAGCATGGAATTTATTTGAAAAAAATAAACCAGTAAACAGTACATTTCACATAGTTAAACAGTCCTTAATTTAATAATAATATTGTACACATTAATACTTATTGGCATATTTTAAGTCTTTGACTGATTTTTCATACCAAACAATTACCTAATAAACGATATTGCAATGGAGATAAACATGGATATATTTCTGGTGATGTCTCCGCATCGGAAATAGTTTCTAATATTCTCCTAATTTGCTAACATAATAATGTTAAGCTACAAGTTGCGTTGTATATTTGAAATATGAGAAAGGTAGAACACTTGGATGTATTACAGGTACGCTTGTTGACTTATGCGTCGATACTTATTATAAAATACCTTACTGTTTTGAAGTAGGCAGCCAAAAAGCCACTATACAATTTGTAAAGCATTACCTGCGTTTAAATAATTTGATCCCAAATTGAACATCATCGAAAGCTGAGTCGATAATAGGTCACAGTCAATTTTGTCACCAACGCCGCGATATAAAGCCGCTAAAATGGCACCATGAGCATACATGCCAGTCATTAAGTCGGTAATAGGTATAGCACATTTTGCTGGAACGGTATCGCCGGTGGCGTTCATTAGACCACCGATTGAGGCGGCAATAACATCATAACCTGGTTTTTGGTTCCATGGTCCCTTGGATCCATAACCAGTTATCGAACAAAATACCAATTTCTGGTTTATCTTGCGTAAATCTTCGTATCCAATGCCATGTCTAACGAAACAGAAACAAGCCGATTTAATACGATTGTTTTATCCATATTATTATACTAAATATTGTATTTCCACAAACAAATAACAAAAGATAATAATACAATTTAATGTCAAGTTATAAAACAAACTAGATATTTCATACTTCTAACCAGTTATTTATTATACCGATAAGGTGGTAAACTACTGCGATTAATTATTTCGTAAAATATAAATATCTCAGTTGGCCTAAATATCCATATTTGACATTAAAGTAATTATCAACTTCTAAAGATATATTATGTTGAAATTGAAGCTTTAGTAGACTTAGGGTTTAGTTGTACACTTGTACAGCATATTTACAAATACGACCTTTTGATTATTATTTATAATGTAATACGCAGCAATACAACTGTAATACAAACAATAAATGTAACATACAACTGGACTGCTTAGTGAATACACAGTGTGACGTTTTATGAGAGAGTGTGTTTTTGCATAAAGTACCTAAATCCATATATTTTATATATCATGCCATCGTTAACGTCATGCGTGATACACGATATACGAGAGTTATTAATATATCCGTGTAAGCCGCAAGGTGTAACAATTGAAAGTAATGAGTAATGACTGGACATTATTATGGAAGGTTAATTATAAGTAAATACGAGTACGATATTGATATGGCGTGCATAAATGACGTGCTTACAATATTCTAATACTAACAAATATTAATTATTTATTTTATGATTTATAATATCTTTATTCTATAAAGGTATTTCAAATATTAATCGTACAAACAAAATTCCCTTTAATTTTTAGTTTAATCTATTTAAACATACGTTATATTCTATGCATTTGAAGGTGAAAGCGTTTTTATTAAAGTTTCCACTTAATAACTACTACACGAAATCACAATTTCTTACTAAGTTGTATGTACTTATATTATATACTGCAGTAAACATATTTTCAGAGATATATTTTACAATTAATGTAAAAAAGGTATCGTTTGATATTTATTTGACAGTCACTATGAACAGAAAACTCAGTTGGACTATAATTTAAATGTCAGGATTTGGCTGATACCACAATACTTAGGTATACATACGACTACAAAATACAATCACAACTGGTGCCTATTATAATTGTGTATTCTAAAAGTCCTACGTCATCCTAATTATAGTAAATCAATATACATCAAATGTATGGTTTTCAATAATAATCTATAATCAATATAAAATGAATGCTATTTAATTGGGATTTCCTTTTACTAATTACCAGATTAATATTGAAAAAACCTACATTTGAATATATCAGACAAATCTTTTATTTGAATACACTCATCGTTATTTCAAAAACAATTAATGTTTTTAAAAACATTTCTTTTACGTAATTATAAGGATTAACAAGAAAAACGTTTGAAAAAAATAATTTTTATCGTTATCCTTTTTTAGGTTTTTACTTTGTTTAAATACAATACACATTTTCAATTCCTTATTTCAAAGATCAATATTTTTTGGATTACATAAATGTACAAAATTAGAATTTTGGAAAAATATGTTATACATTTTAATTAATATTTAAAGTTTTGATGACCGGAATGGAGTAATACTGTGGTAGGTACCCCTCAAAATATTGATCCACTACTCTACTCATCAATACTTAAAAGTCTAAATACTTATGACTTAATAACTAGAATTTAGAGTGTTAAATATAATATATAGAATATGAAAGTAAAATTTATATGTTGTCAATAAAAAGTAATAAATAATGAGGCTAAAAAATAGTAAAACATATAATTTTTTTTTTCATGCATTTTTTTATTTATTTACTGGCAACATAAAATAACATACAATATTGCTAAGACTCCCGGGCGGTCACCCATCCGGGAGCTAGCAACACCTGCCGATGTGTACACCCAGACCGAGTACCCGACTGCAGAGAGTAGACACCTCGCTACACCAAGCTACTTTTCATAAATTATGTTTTGCAACAACTTAAAATTATGTAAAATTAATATTATTCAAACGGTAAATAATTTTTGAAACAATGAGTTGTTTATGCTAAATCACCTGTATTGGTGTCTCATGGTTTTAGAGGAATACTTAGAGTGTTTTGTGATATATTGCAGCAGTATATAATGCATGTACATCTTTGGCTATTAAAATTATTATTATTTTCAATTTAATAAAGTGCTCTAGTAAAAGCACTCTGATTGAGAGGATTTATTTAACTAGAACATTATAGAACATTATTTGAAACATAAGTAATTATACACACTTTTAGGTTGTGAGTTTGTGACATATAGCTGTATTATAAATAGGGTAATTTATAATTTTGGGCCAACAATTATTGCAGTTTCTAGAACACAGACACGCGCATTTGAATCGCCCAACTTGTATCCATTTAAAAATACGCTATCGCCTGCGTAGGGCACTATAAGTTTAAAAAAAAACTTCATTTTACTCCATATATACACGTGATAAGTACTTTAATTGAATTCTTTCTTATCAGTTACCTGTTTAGTTTTTATCTAGTAAGTTCAAAAAATAATGTAGGTAATAGGTTTATTACATTATGGGAAACGATGAGAAAAATTAACCAAACAATAAATTATGAGCTGTATTATATTATTATGCTTAATTATACAAAAACAAATAAAAAAAAAACATTAAACTGCCTAATTATTATGTGATTTCAAAGGTAGCAGTTCAATTTTGTAATCAGACAAATAATAGATAATGTAAACAACTAGCTTACAAACATTTTCAAACCAATACTTATGCGTCTAAGGTTGTATTAGTTTTTCGATCATAAATAATTTAACTCTGAATACTAGAATATATTATTATTTGCATTAAATTCCATTCAAATTTTTTTGTAAATATTTAAATGTAAGTTTCAACACTATTCAAAAACGCTTGAGAATTGTTTCAAGTTATTGATCTAATATCATAAAGTAAAATTCAATTCAATAAAAACACAGAGTTCGTGCACACCTAATCATAATTTTAAAATATGACATCATGTATTATTCAATTATTGGTTTTATTACAAACATCAACAGTATTAAGTTCAGTCTTTTAAAGTACTTGAGTAATAGACATATTATTGTATTCTTTTTGAGTACTTGAAAGAGTATTTTCTCAAAGTATCTGTATTTAAAATCAAATACTAATTTTCAAATACTTATTCTTTTTGTTTTATATATATATTTTCTATTTGAATTTTAATAGCCTAAAATAAAGTTAGAGTAAAGAAATTGAGAATTATTATCAAATTAAAATTAAAATACTTTGACAAAAAACATGCGTATTTTATAGGTAGGCTTGCCGTTCTTCCCGGTTTTAACAGCATGTCCTGATGTCCCAGGCGGTCATTAATTTTATCCCGGTTCATGGAAGCCCAGTGAAAATAACTTTAATAATGTATTATTTAATAACGAAACATGAAATAATATTGTACATAATATCATTACAGCATTATATGATCATCGTATTATGTTATCTAAATTGTATCGACACGTTTTCAGGTTTGTTTGTCATTCTATTTCTATACGATTAGCCATTAGGTATATCGTATATAAAATATAATTTTATAAATACAATTATTGTCAGTTTTAAAAATATCAAAATTACCTTATAAGCTATAACTAATAAATGTAAAATGTAAATGAAATAAATGTAGTTTATGTTGTTGTGTACGTAATCTCAAAGGCTCCAAAAGCCACCTTGAGACAAATCAAACAAGTACCAAATTGAATTGAAAAATAACGTTCTCAATAATCTATTATATTATATATATTATATATATATATCTAATATATTAGATATAAATATCTCTATAAATTGTATTGGTTTATTAATTTTAAATGAAATAACTGATATTTATTATTTTCATATATCCATATAACAATACTAACTATAATAAAAAAAAAACTGGCTTGATGATGTTCCTGTTTGGTGATTTTAAAATCTGGCAACCCTATTTATAGGTATTTATACCAAATTATTCTACTATTCGTTTACAAATATCATCTGTATTATTTACAAAATAATTTTTTTTTTTTAATGTGCATTTCAATTTATGCATTCCACGAAACAAGTAAATTGCTGTATTCTATAGTTTACTTGGGAATAAATTTGGACCTAAATTGTACGTAGTTAACAATGACGCTTAATTTTATTAAAAAAAGGGAAACGTCCAAAGTCCAAAGATCTAATTAAATTGCCTTGGGTCACAAAATTAGTATTTTTTCTCCAATTCAAATGTTATTAGTCAAGCTCTAATCCTGGATTGGTATGACAGTTTTAATTTCTTGTTTGACTGAATATCCAGAATATTATTATTATATTATCCTATACAAATATGTAATTTAACTTATGCAAAATAAAATACTTTATTAAAAAGTTTAACTCAACCTATAAACTTGAGAAGGTACATTTCAATGATTAGGTACTGCAAAGTGAAAGTTATTAGTGTGAAATATTGCGCATAATTAATATTCTATTTATTTTCTGATCCTTACAACTTTAATAAATTAAATACTGAAAAAATAATATAACAATATACTATGTGTTCAAAAAGTTTGGACTTAATTACCATTTGTACATTTTAATACCTCAATAGAGCAAAAACGAATAACACTGCTGCATGTTTAATGTTAATTATGTTAAATATTTAATCACATCATAAATATTAATTATATAATTATATCATTTATCAGTCCTTTTCTAAACTTCTTGAACACCTCATATAATAAATATAATATACTCTATAAGTTAGCAATTATTAATTAATTACTTGCTTCCGAAATGGCAATATATGATGCTGTATTACTATTATAAGTAGTAACTAGTATTAGTTTATTGAATAATTCGAAATCCATTCGATACCTATTAATCTTATCTGTAAACATGAACCAAAAAAAAATTTAAAATATCATTGAGTTTTTATTATTTAATAATACTGGTTTTAGAAACATATTGAATTAAATATCTCACTGTGTTCGCCCCCGTTTGGACATAAATGATTTTTTTCAAAATATTATTTCAAAACATTGTTCCTGTTATATTAATGAGTCAAAATTATCGATATTTTGTAATTCGTAGTATTTTTTAGTTTACCAAAATTTAAAAAAAAAAATCACATTTCTTGAAAATCTGAAAGAGTCAATTTATAGTTTAGTTATGCAAATCATTTTAACTACTTCAATTACTAATTTTCATTAAGTACTACAATGAGACACTTTTTATTAATACTGATATAGCTTCATCAAACAATAAACATAAGTATTATAGTATTATTGAATTATTCCTATTGTAAAAAAAGTCATAATCGTAGATACACACTTAAAATATTATTAACATTCACTATACCCATGTAATTTTAATATTCTTAAAGGACGTTACACTAATCCCTGACCTATAAATATAGTAAAAAATAGACGTATTTATACATTTATTTATTTATTTATTTTGCCTGAAAATATAAAACTTAACCAAACAAATATTTTCATATTATAACTACAAAATAAAAATTATTTACTTAAAAATTGTGGAAAACGTAAATTTTCTAGAATTTTTATAATATGTAGTTTAATCATAACAAATCATACAAACCAGCAATTTCTCCGGCCTATTTTCGAATTTGTCAATAAACTGTCCTTATTCTTAGGACAATTTCTATTACAAATCTAAATCTAAACATTTCTTAATCCTAAAATAAAGTGCCAACAAAATAAATTGTTCGATAAATAAAAAGAACCCCCTACATAAAACTTTTAGAACAAATCCCTCTGTTGGGATTGATGTCTTTGATTGAAAAAAAAACAATTACAGACAGAATACAGACGAAGAATTATTTATTATTACATTATTTATTTGGTTATTTACATGGTCCGCTTTAGCGAGACTCCGATTTTTTATTTTATTCCCGTCCCGTGTCTCACCTGGTCAGAGAGTCATATCTGTCAGTCTGCAGCGCAATCTCTCACCTGTCCAACGTGCCGGGTATGTAGTTCTCGATGAGCACGTGCGACCGCTCGACCAACTTCCGGATGATCGCCCGGCCTTCCGGCTGCTGGAAGTCCACACACACGCTCCGCTTGTTCCGGTTCAGCGAGACGAAGTACAGGCTCAACCGGCTCTTGCCACCACCGCCGTCGCCACTGACGTCTACGAACGGCGGCCCGTAAAGACGACTGTCGTCGCCGGCCACCGGTCTCTCTACTTTGATCACGTCCGCGCCCATGTCGGCCAGCACCATCGCGCAGTAAGGACCCGCGGCCACCCGGCTCATGTCCACCACCCGGACGCCGTCCAGCGGTCTGGGACCAAATCCGACGCCACCGCCGTTGCTCGTAGACTTCGCTCGGCGGACGGTCGACGCCGCTAGAACAAATGATCGATTGCACGTTCGGCGAAACATAATAATAATTATAGGAAGGTATAGTAGCGATAAACCGAACGCCCGACGACGATATGTGTAGTATTATTATTGTGGTTTTATAGATTTTATTGCACTCGAGTGTCCCGTAGGCCGTCGGCGTTTATCGTTGCGCTCGATCGAACTCGCGGCTCGCACTAGTGTTGTAAAATATGTGAACGGCTACCGTACGCCTGTAGGCTGTAGGACTAATTTATACTGTAGTTGCGATTATTCATTTTTATCAATCCGTTCGATTTCCATACCGAACCCGAATTCCCAGAGCGACGTCGCAGTGGTACCATCACACGGAACGTTATTATTTTTTTTTTTGTCCATTATATCATCATAAGTATACAGGTCGCTTCAAAAGTTTTCATCCTATTTTAAAATTTACCTTTATTTTAAAAAACGATGATAAGTACAAGATCGATGCAAAGTTATAAATATTCTCAACATATTCTAGCTTCAACACAGCGTATAGGTATGCCGTTAGGTTAGGTTAGCCGTATAGGTGCCTATACATTTTTTGTATTTGACTATCCGAGACACTATAACTGACGGAAGTTTTTTAATCATTAAATAAACGCTCAAAATACATGTCAATCAATTATCATTAAAGAAAACAAACTTGACAATGTTTATACATATTGAAAATTCTAAATACCAGACACTCCCGCTAACTGAAATTTTGTCCTAAATTCGGAAGGTTCAGTTTGTAAAAAGCTCGTAGTTTGTTCCGAAAAAAAGGTCCGTTATTTAGAGATGTCCTCTCGGGGGAGGTGTCATTGCATATTATAGATCTCACTTGTAGTTTCTGAGCAATATCAATTCACAATCGGATGAAAATTTTGAATCATTCTGTACATACAATCATATACGATAAAGCTACCTTTGCACCGTAACGACGATGATTTACGCCTACTACGAGCTATTATGTGTGATATATTTTATTTGTTTAGATGACGCGTTCATCTATTATAATATGTTAACTGTGTGAATAGTGATCGCTTATATCGTATTGTTATCACGGCGACGTGTTTGACAAAGGCATTCCGTAATGTAGAATCCCGCATCTGTACCTAAATAATTCAGTAGTCTTTGAGTATATGAGTTACAAACATATATATACAACTCTCCCATATTTGTTTTAAAATATAATTTTCTTATTAGCGGCCACGATATCAACAATATTATAAATGCTTTTTCCTCACCTGCCAATAGCCCAACTAAAAAATGGCATCCATTTATCAACAATAAAAAAAATCAATTTCCATCGCGAATCTCAAAATCCTTTCATGAGCACCTCTTTAAAGTGCGAATTTCGAATATTGAAAATTTACTCCCAAATGTACCAGATAAATCCATTTAGCTACCAGAAACTTCCATCAAATGATGAACTGAAAATTTTTTCTACTAAAAGTCTTCAAAAGTAAATTTATTTATTTATTTTAAAAAATACACTCTTCGCTCCAAATCATAATTTCAATGAGTAAAAAAACTAGCTAAAATATTTGCATAGCATGTTAAATTAGGGCTACTGAATTAAAACTAACATGCATATTTAACAACAAAAACACTTGAATCTTTATAACACAAATGATTTATAAGAGAGACTCTATGAGTGGTCATCTACAATTTGATATTCACGGTTCTTTGAATGAACTGTTATTAAAAACAGTTGTTTAACAAAGAGGTTATCCATTTCTGTTTTTTTTAGATATTTCGCTGTGAAAGGTAGATTTTACACTGTTCACATCTATAATTTACATAAAAATTACTAATAGGTAGGTACCGTAACCTAACAAAATTGAATATTCAATTTTATGCAATTAATATTTTTTTTTTTCAAATGATAATCAGTTGTTTTCAGTAACAGTCCATTTGCAATCTGCATGCAATAAAATTCAATGATTTGCTACAAAATAATCGTTAAAATAATTGTTTCTGAGAACATTATAATTTTCAAAATTAATCTAATAATAAAAAATAATAGTATTCCCCTTAAAAATTTAAAACAAAAAAAAAGATTAAATAAAACGTTTTACTATCTTATTATGTTTTTTACAAATAGTTAGATGTAATAAGTAGATCACAAGTAACTATATGGTCAAATGAAATACATTAATACAATTTAAAAACAAATAACTTTGAGTATTATCATTAACATAGGAATAATTTTCTTTCACATAAAAGTGGTTTTCAATAAAACTTTATATTTTTAAATCATTATTAAATTTACATAATAATAATATTATCATTCATAAATTATGATGAGCCAAATCGTCAACAACCTACCAAAAAATAATTACTAGGTAGTCTGTTAAATTCCACTGAAAACCTTTTACTCGTACCTAGTATGATATTCTTAATCATTTGGCTGAATAAAAGGTTGATACTTTTATTCTTATGTATAATTTCAACATAATAATAAAATCATTTAATTACACTTAAATCGATTAATATACTAAACTCTAAAGTACAGTAAAATAACAAAACATGGAGGTATAGCTTATAGTCCAATACTTGAGTGAGAACTAGGATTAAGCATTCAAAATGCATAGATTATTTTCACTACAGAGAAAAAAAATGTAAAAATGAACAGCGTATTTGTAACGTTGTTGAAAAACAATAAATTACTAGGAGTAGAAAACCAGTTTCACTTTTCTAATATAAATGTTATAGCAAACAAATTTTAATCGTTAAGTTTTAATATGTGAGATTTGTAAAAAATTCCATGTACATAAATTTCTGATAACAATAAGTGATTCTATATTAATACAAATAAGATAATTAATATCGAGAAAAATACTATGATAATCCAAGAGTGATCATATTATTGTTTATTATTCTCCCAACAAAATAATTGTATTGATGCCACCATAGAATTTTTAAAAAACACTACATTTAAATGTAAATAATGTTGAATAGAAAAAACACCTATTCAAATGAAAATGGTACCTCATAAGCTGAAAACTTACTTCATTCAGAACAGAAAATAGTTTATAAAATAAGCAATAAATTAATAAACCTCATAAAAAAATGTAACTTCAATATTAACATACAACTTGAATTTTAAAATACAAATACCCACTTATAGTTTCTGCAAATTATAATTCTGTGTGTACCAGCTAAATGAGATATTATATATTTTTGTTGTTTTTTTCCATTTCAAATTAATAAATCGTATACATTTATTATTTTATTTTATTTATTGTTGTTTTAGTTGGATAAAGTGTTTTTACTTTAGCTGCAATGAATATTATTAAGTATTTAGGTATCATACATTCGATGTCATATAGAACGGTTCTCAATTGAAAATCAACGTTCTGTGTAAGTTAAATATAATTTTTTACTAAAATAAAATTTTTTATTATTGTTGTGACAATTACATTTATAGAAACTATGCAAACTATATATTTTTACCGAAAAATTATTCTTTTTTTATTTCTATTTTTTTGTTATAATATTAAATCGAGGCTATGTTAAACGAAATATAACATGTTTCCAATTAATTTTCAAATCATCTAAAAAAGTTGTATTTCCTAAACAAATATTTGAGTTAAAATTAAGTGACATATTATGTTAATCTAAATAAGAAATAATAAGCATTATAATATTACAAAGAAACAATTATTCTATAAATATTTAAATCAATATTTCCGATACTAGCCGTTAGATTATACAAATACCGAGTAAAGATTAATTTCAACACTAAATAATTGACCTAACGATTTTATGTTTTTATCAAGACGGTTGAATTTTTGATTTAAAACAAAAAATATTTTTAAGCTGCCACAAAAAAATGTATAAAAATATCATTAATTAACTAACGAGTTTCTAATTTATCCGTACTACTCAGTATCTAAAATATGTACATTAAGAGTACTGTAAACATTACCTCCATCGCACGAAACTAATATGTTCGGATTAAATGGATTTAATTATTTTAATTCAATTATACATTTTACCATAAACAAAGGTATATGGAAATTATTATCCAAATTTTATATACACTTAAAAGGATCGTTCATAAAATTCATCTAGGTATTGTACATGATTCTATACTCTATAGTATATAATATTAGCATAATTTTAACTTATAGTGTATTCATTCGTTTACAATGTTTACATATTTAACTAACGTCGACTGACTTACCCTCAAAATATTCATATACCCACTCATTATAACTATTTGTCTTTACATGGATAATACAATTTTGAAAATATAAAGTACATTATTACAGTGTAGATATTATAACATTAATCACAATTCAGTGTTTTAAGATTATTGAGAAACCAAAAGTTGATAAGAAACAATAATTTGCCCTTATCTACATTATATTCAATATTAATTATTATAGATTAAAGTTCAGATTTTAAAAACCATACAAATCTCTACAAATATGAGGTAAAGTAATAATAAAGCGGGTAAGTGGATGTCGCTCTGCTGTACAGTCGGTTAGGTAAGGTCAGGGTATTTCAATGTTAGTTATTAGTAGGGCCCGGATTTCAATGCAAAGTGCATATTTTTTTGGTTGATCATATACAATGCTTTCTAAGTACATAATTCGTTCCATGTAACGAGGGTTTGAAAGCTACAAATTTTATTTTGCATTTTTTTGCATATTTCGACGTTTTTTCATTTTTAGAGCATTTTTAGCATTATTGGGTCATTTTGTTGGTTTTTAATGCATATTTGTTCAAAATAGATATAAAACTTGGAATATTCAAAAAAATATCTGAAGATAAATTATTTTCTTGATATTTAAGAAGGTTTATCGGGTTTTTCCATACAAATTGTCATTTTTTTTTTCGATTTAGTTTTTATCTTATCTTAATCTATTATTGACTGTAGATGTTTAGAATGAATAATATTTCCTCTAAAACGGCCAAAACATGCATGTCGACATCATATCAGTCAATATTTAAAATTTTCAGTTTTTTTTTAATAAAATAATTATTATGTCTCATTTATAAATTACAATTTGTATATAAAAAAAATATATGGCATTTTTAAGGTCATTTTTGTGGTAAAATGCATTTTTTAAGGGCATTTTTGGCTATTTTTTAGAGCATATCTGTATAGTTTTAAGTGCATTTAAATCCGGGCCCTAGTTATTAGTTTTTTGAATCACAATTTACAACAAAACGGAAAAATCGCTAAGTGAGAAATCGAATGAATATCCAACGTTCTAAAAAAAATGTCAACTTCAAACTCCCATAAAATGTAATTTGACTTTTTATTAAAAAATTTTTTTTGAAAATAATAGAAACACTTATAAGGAATCTTGTATTCAATTTTAAAATCTTAGATATAAAAAGAAAAATTGTTATAAATGTCTAACTAGAAATAATTAGCACATTTTCGTTTTTTTTACGAATTTTGTAAACAGTCTAAATTCAAACGCTTTTAAAAAAATATTGTGGATTTACGATAATTTTTTTTTGAATTTCCAGTAACAACAACTTACGAAGAACCATATTCAAGTTTTTGGAAAGAACGAAAAAAATGTTATCAACATTAAATCACAAAAAAAAACTAATAAATTAATCGAAAATGTCATAAGCCTATGAGTATACTCAACCAGAGTAAAAATATTTTAAAAATTGTATAATGTATAGAAAATGCTGATATAATCATTCAGTGAAAATTTCATGTATCTACGATATTTTTTTAGAGGCACATCAAAAGACCCCTCAAAATATCAACAAGATTCACTTCCCTGCCAGAAAAGATGCAGTGGAAGAAAATCGAAGTACTTTTACTGCCCTAAAAGGTGATGACAGAAACACAAAAAAAACACATCATTGTTAAATTAATTAATTCATCGCTCTGCTCAGAATCTAAAAATGTATCTTGACAAGAATAATATGTTCTATGTTTCCAACACGTAGCACAAATTTAGTCATGCACTTAATGATAACGTAGAAATTGAATTATAGAGCTTGAATTTCCAGGCAAGCCTGTAGGTGACCGATACAATGAGTCAGGTAGGAATACAAGTAGGATACATAACTATACTTAACTTCATTTGATAATTTTGAATTGTTGTAGTTCATGAAACACTCATTTCTGAATTCATGTATATTACGTTTATAAAACATTACAATAATTAATATTTGCAACATTGACAACATTCTACGTCAAATGAACATTTTAAAATACTATTTAACACAGGCAAGTACTTAGATTGCATAAATATTACGCCGTACAAAATATTTTACGTGGAGAGAAATGTGGGTTATACCATGTATAGAAACGGAGTATTGGGAATCACCTGTTTTCGCTCATTTCAGATAATCTAAAGCCTCTCACTTATTTTTGTTAACTTATATTGATTGCACAATTATTTTATTCATTTTTGTATACAGATATTTCATTAAGTGTGTTAAGGAATTTTTACCAAAATTATCTTTAATTCAATAAATAAAAAAATGGAATAATAAAATAATTCACTTAAAAAAATGATTTTGAGTGATATTCAGTGAGTCGTGTTATGGCTGAAAAGATTGTCTACATTAATATAATTAATATTCAAACACACGAGCTTTATACAAATAAAACCGCACAGTATAAGCACTTCAATACCATATATAAGTGTTTGATTGTTGAGTATAACTTTAATTAGCTGTGAATTGGCAGTTTAAATAAATTTATTCACAACCTGAAATTATGAAATTCTTGAACTGTACATCCTGTGGCTTTTAAACCAATCATTGTTGCATGTCTGCATACTTTATTATAGTATAAATGTTTATATTTTTTTCATAAACGAAGGAACTTACATCATTATAATGTATGTGTTAAATCTGAATTCAATGATAAATGATTGTAAACAAAAAAATTTCAAATGAAGATGTTCATGTTGTTAAATATTTACATTACTTTTTTTCTAATTTGGTAGTTTCCATAGTCAATACCCATACGTGCTATGTAATGGTGTTAAAACACTGTTGTAAAACAATTTTATTTTAATTACATTGTGTAAAGAAAATTATAATTTATATAGTATATGATAAAATGATACTGACCCCTGCGATTTATCTTTGAATCAAAACAAAATTAATTAAACATTTGGGTCAAAAATCATTATTTTTCGTTAAATATTCAATTTTCGTCTTCACCAGTCGAATTTTCACTTTATGCATTTTTATTTATGGTTCTTCAAAATTCATTCCCTATGAAATTTCTGTTTACTTTAAGATAAGTACTTACTTATTAATAGTATGTACTTTTAAAAATAGGAGTTTCATTTATCCATTTTAGACATTGTTCACAACGAAAGTATTTGAATAAATGGAATTTAGTTCATCATTAAAAATTTGTTATCGTTGTATCTAAAAAAATTCATAACTTGTTTTTTACTAAATCATCATTCTAGTTACAAATTACAGCCTACAGGTCACCTGTTTATTTATAAATATGAATGGATATTTATATAAGCAAAAAAATTTGTGATTTAATTATTAAATGTATTTACCTAATATTTTTTTTTTTTTGACACGTTGACAGGTCGTAATTACTTTATGGTTTATGTCCACGACTATATTCTGCAATGTTTTATGAAACCGTCAAATAAAATCTGTGAAGTTGGAAGAAGATCCAGTATTGATTGATGTAATCCATATAAATACTGTTTGACTCGGTGTATAAAATACTGGGAAAACACACATGCAAAATTTACGTTATCTAAACACATATAATTTCAACGAAATGTTAAGGAAATGTATGTTCAAAAGTTGAATAAATAAACGATTCAGTGTTTATTTCTACATCTATGACTTTCATTGTTTCTTGTGTGCTTTGTTATAATATTATTTGTTTTTAAATATTATAAGTTTATTGCATGTTCATTATTTTCGATACCTAAGAACTATATTTTCGAAATGCTGATATTTTTTGTCAAATATAACTAACAAACTTCTATTTTTCAAATGAGAACGTCCCTTTTCATTGCAAATTATTTAGTGGATGATTTTTTTTGAAAATTTTAATTCATCTACATCAAAATTATGGTGAGTAGTTTCTGAGTTATTAAAATGTTCAAAATAAACGGATAATAATCCTATAAGATAAATATTTGAGTTGCATACATTTAAATGAATGTAACCCTCTTGATTTTAATTCTGGGCCAGTACCTAGTATTATTACACACTACTAAGTTATATTAATATATCTATGGAAAAAAATAGTAAGATAACATCTTTGTACCATGCTATTTTAAAATTATATAGGTAGGTGTATATAAAACAATTAGTATGTTTAATTTTATTGAAAATGGAATAAATTTGTCAACTAACAACTAACCTTGACATCTATTAACAATTTAAATGTTTTTGTTATCTTCTACATAAAAATAATAATAAAGTTGATCTCCCTGAAATGTTACAAAAGCAATCATTATTTTTTAATAGTAACCATATGGGCTATCAATTCTAAAAGTATTTTATAATATTAGAGTTATGTTATTGGTATCCAATATTTATCATAATATCATAATATAATGACTAAACATAATAAGTTTTATATTGCATTCTATTAAAATAAAATAAAATTTCAAATTAAACTTTACCGCAACTCGCAGGTGTATTCAGCTGCAATTGAATATAAATGTTAATTATAGAATTTAAATTATTATTTTGAATTTCCAATAAAATACTTATACATATATCTATATACTTAATACTATACAAATATAATGTATTTTGGTTCATTTAATACGATAAATATTATTGTTACAAGATTTTTTCCAAAAAAATAATAGTAAGAACTGTTATAATAATTGATAGCAATGATATTATAACTTACATTTTCCTTAATATAATATGGTTTTATAAAAATTATAAATGTATTAAAAATTACTAAAATAAATAATTTTTTTAATTGAACTGTCTATTTTTATTTCTAACAAATGAATTATAATTATAATTAAAATTCATATATTTTTTTTAGTTCTTAGTAATATGTATTATATGAACGTAACATAACATAAAAGCATATAATTATTCAAATTTTTAATTTCATAAACTGGTTTTAATGTGATGTTGCTTAATGGTATCTATGAATTTTCATTTTACTAAACTAATCACTTTACTTGCACAATGCAATGGTTATAACCTAGGTATTACTTATTAATAATTATGTTATAATATTTTATTTTTATACATTAAATACCTCTAGCCGAATTGTATATTATTCTTCAATAAAAAATACAAATTACAATAGTCTTTCTTTTATTGTATGCCTATTATTATTTGTTTTTTTGTTTGATTTAAACATCGAATACTAATTTAAGTTGTAAGGCAAACTATACTATAAAATAAACACAAAAATATTCATTTTCACCAACGTAAGTTAATGTATTACTTTAATTATCATAGCACGTTAAAAAATTCTATCATCACGCCATTTATACACGATGTAAATACATAAAAATGTAATAGTATCTCCCTAATACCCAATACTTTTATTGTCCTCACTGCTCGCCTATTATATTATGGACACCCTAATTATTTTAATTTGTTTGATATTTATACATTTAGTAGGTACGTATAAACATACTTTATATGTACAAGGTTATATCAACAATACACAAAACACATGAAATAATATAAAATTAGTTTTAGTAGTAACATAAAATATATCTACTATAATAGAACATAATAGAACATAATATTTAGTACTCCAAATGTGGCAAGTTTGATGATAATTAGTTTAAGAATGATTACAGAGAAACTTGTTTGAAATCTATGTTATCAATAATTTCTAAATCGACTCAATATTATACCTAACTTATTGTTAGAGGTGATTATATTTGAAGAAAATATTTTTTTATGTAAGTATAGCCGTACAGGTACCTAAATGACGGTTCAAAAAAATAGAAAAATATGCTCACATATCATAATGTTTAGATTCTGAACCACGATTCTCATTTTTAGTTTAAATAAAATAAAATTACCAACAGTAAAGAATAAAAAAAGTGAAAATACATTGTTTTTATATTCCATTGACTTAAAAACAGTAAAATTATTATGATTTGTTCTATATACTTCTATAGTTCTATGGCTATTCAATATTATGTAAAAGAAAATGTAGGAGGTATCTATACGTAGGGGAAAAAAATTTATTTTTAAATGTTTAAACATTACGAAATGTATTAATAACCATATTTTATAGGACTATGTAGATTATAGTGTAAAATTCAAGTGAGGTTAGACAAGTCATTCTACCGATCGTTATGGTATGATACTGGTGTTTAACATAAACATACATGAAGCAACTATCAATACCTATAAGATAAGATGAAGTATAGATGAAATTTCCAATGTAAAAATTATTTCATAATTTTAAATAGTTTGAATTTTGAGTGTTTATTGCTTATAATCTGAACTAAATCGTTAACAGAGCATATTATAATATATTTTGTAAATACTTTTAAATTATTAATAATATATTAGACTAATTTATTGCAAATAGTTTTCATAATCGCGAACCCTATTTGATTTTCAAATATTTTACGAAGAACGAGCTTTTTTATTTTTATTTTTTTTAAATCATTTACTATTATTTTCTTAAATGATATTATATGCATGTAATTTATTTTATTACCCACTTGTGAGTTAGTGATTTATACTAATAAATAGTTTAAAAGCCAGATACAATAAAATGAAACCGAAAAACGCTTTATATAACAGTTACAAAATACCATGGATAATACATAATAATCATAATATTCCAGGCCTACAATTTCAAGAATGCACATAATGTTATAATGATCAACAGTATATCTATATATCAACGTATAATTCGTGTTGGACAGTCCATTATGCACTATCCCATACTCTACAGACAGCAGCTGATATTTCTTACCAAGGCAAACGAGAAACCAAATAATTTAACCAACTTTATACTGTTCATGCGCAATGTTAAACTAAACATATGGGTATTATAAATATACTAGTTATACGCCCGGCTTTTATCTAATCTTAATATTTTATTTAGTAGCACGTTAACCGTAAACAAAGACACATCGTTTTACCATTGATGCATAATATGTATATTATAATATCAATGGTACGTTAATATAAAAATTCGTGTTCATAGTTTATTAATTATTATTAAAATGTGATTAAAAGTAACGACAACTGTTTTTAAATATTTATTAGGTGTATATATTTTTTAAATTAAACAATGAATATTTTTTTAAGTTTACTGTGGTTATTTGTTTCTCCAAATTTTACTAAAGCTGATTTGAAATGTAAGTCTTATAAATTTAAAAATATAGATACACGTTTATTAAAACAAATAACATAATATAACTTTTAAAAATTTATATGATTCTAGACAAAATTTGTGTGGTTACGAGTAACGGAGGAAATGACAAAACCCGAGATTATTGTCCTCCTTTAAGTATAGAAAAATCTAGTCAAGTCGAATGTGTATTTGCAACTGATAAGTAAGTGACATTTAAGCTATTTACCATCATACAAATAATGTACATTTTAATAAATTAATTTTTGATGAAAACGTAAAGCTACAATTGTATTGCTTTTTAATCAACAGTTCGTAGATAAAGACAATGGCTGTTAATTTAAAAAGGGATTTTATTTTTTATTATGGTTAGGTAAATTTAGTAAATTTACTTGTTAAATGAGAACTATATCATTAAATTTTGAATCAATAGGTATATACCATTTTAAATTGCATTGAGAGGCATTAAATAATATAGTTTATATAATTATTATACCCATAATATACTTCCTAGCAAAAATAATGTGTGTAAAATATAAAAATATTATCCTAATGAATCAATTTAGTAACAGAAAATTCAAGCAAGGCCAATTTATTTTCATGGACGTATATATACGTCTATGGCAGCAATATTCACGTCATATTTTTCTTGTTGTTATACCAGCCAGTAAAAATTATTCATGTTGTGTGTGTGATCCGTAGCTCCGCGGAAAATTTTTTTTTTATAATGATTAATCATAATGTCAGAGGTAGATCACAGCTAACAGGTCTGAAATACATTAATATCATCTACGTTTCAATTTATGAATGTTTTTCGGTGGTCTAAAGCAATGAGGACGGAAATTCGGGAAACACGACAATAAGTAATTAATTGGACAAATATTTAGTATTAACTTATATAAATAAAAATAGTAGGTAGGTACCTACAAGATTATAGTCGTAAGTAATCGATTATGCACAATGTTAATCTGTTTTATACATATATATATATTTTTGAAAGAGAGTTTTAATTTTATTTGAGAAGTCACATTCTCCTTGGTATTTGTATCTATATCATAAACATTCGTAATTTGTGTCGTTCCTGTACATACCAAAATGGTAAATTTATCCCTGACTATAGTTACAAAATATTCAACAGTACGTGTAACAATAAGATAATACTTTGTAGATTACATTGCATAAGAAAAATTCTCAATGGAGAAGCAGATTTTGGAGTGTTTCAAGCTGAAGAAATATCATATGCAACTCAGTGGAACGACTATTTAAGCATTACGAATGAAATTCGTTTATTCGAAAATGGTATAATATTTATATGTATATAATTAAATTTGCCTATTCCTAAGATATATAAACATATAATATAGGTATTTATATGTTTTAAAATCTACACTTAAATGGTTCAATATCAAAAAATTCATGTAGGTAATACAAATGCTTGTAGTGTGATTGGGTAAATATTTAAAAGTTAAATCCAAT